TCTACATAAAATCAAGCGGGAACTGAAGTAATGCCCCGGTTTAAAGCTTAATCTAATCTTTGCCGCGGTGTACATACTTGCCTATACAGTGTCCGCAAAAAAACCGTATTAAAAGATTTAAATGGGATTTTCATAATACTGAAGATAGTTAAAATTAGGCAAGTCAATTAGTTTTTGCTTCAAAATAAAACACTAAATCACCACAATACACCAAAACACTTTTACTTTTGCACTGGACGCGCGTTTCGCTAACCATGTTAGCATCATCAGCAGATGATAAAGACTTGATCATCTGCTGATGATGTAGATGCAGATGATTGACACAGAGGACATTTCTTGGGGCTAAGTTTCAAACCAGAGCTCGCTAGTCGCTTGAAAACTTCTTCCAAATCCTTCAGATGGTCGTCAAAAGATTTCCCTACCACTATAATGTCGTTACACTAAACAGTTGGTCCAGGATAGTTCCTTTAACACAGATTCCATTAGTCTTTCAAAGGTAGCTGACGCGTTGCACAATCCAAAAGGCATGAGGGTAACTTGCCACAGTCCGGAGCCCAGCGAGAACGCTGTCTTCTTTCTGTCTCTCGACGCCATGTCGACTTGCCAATATCCACTTTTCAGATCTAAGGTGGAGAATATTGTGGACCCCGCCAGTGTGTCTAGAGTATCGTCTATCCTCGGCAGGGGATAGCTATCCTTGATAACATTATTAAGCTGCCGATAATCAACACAGAACCTGATGGTGTCGTCCATCTTCTTTACTAGTACTACCGGCGATGTCCACGGGCTGTTAGATGGTTCGATGACACCCTGTTCTTTCATTTATCGAAGGATCTTGTCAGCTTCTTCACGTTTGACGAGTGGAAGTCTTCTCGGATTTTGTTTGATTGGTCGTGCATCTCCGGTATCAATGTTATGTTGTACTAAAATGGTACGATCTCTCTGCCCTGCTTCTCCTTGATTAAACACATCTTGGTACTTGATTATCAGATTTCTCAATTTTCTACTATCTTAGGGAGATAATCCCTTAACGTCTACTAGCGCCTTCACCTTTTTGTCCGGAATTTTTGAAGCTGAAACTTTGGAGGTTTCCATACTCCGAATAACTGAGGAGACCGAGCAATAGTACCCGCACAGGGTTCCCTTCTTCAAGGACGCTGAATAATAATTAGTGTTCATTACTCTCACCGGTACAGTCTTCTTCGCTCGTAGCATGCCTTTTCCTACAGCGATCCCTCGTCCTATTTTGCTGTCATGGTTCCTTGGTTCCAACAGAATAATATTTCCATTATTTATTTTACCTTCCAGGCAACCATCCAAAAATATCTCACAGCGCTCAGGGATCGAAACATCTTCTGCGACCACCACGCGAAGCGTCTCGTCACATTTTCGATGAAGAATGACTCTTTCTCCTCCAGGTTTTAAGGATATCCGGCCTGATGATTGTTTTGGTCGCACCGGTATCCAACAGCATGATCCATCCGCGAAACCATCCACAAAAATTCTGTTGAACTTGTGTTGTAGCGATGCGACTTGAGCAGTTCTCGTTGGAACCTGTTGGGTACTGCTCGATATGTGTCGCTTTGATTCGACACTTGACGAAGCCGTGTTCACGTCCCCTTTTCTTTACACTGACGTCTTACGTGTCCTGCCTGGCCGCAATTTCAGCAACAAGTCGGTCCTTTTTTGGACATGGTTAGCGAAAGGCGCGTTCAGTGTAAAAGTAAAAGTGTTGTGGTGTATTGTGGTGATTGAGTGTTTTATTTTGCTGTGTAACACCAAAGGTTCCAACCCCCAACTGTAACAGTTTTTGCTTAAACCAAAAATTAAGTATACCATAGCTGCGCGGTTTGATTTACCTGTTAAAATTGCGATTTCTCATTTGAAATGTCAAAAGGTGTTTATTAAAACTTTTGAAAATGTTATTCGAAAAGTTCTTTAGAAAAGTTTTTAATGTTTATTTATTTTTGAGTTTTACATTTACTCTTAAATGCCATTTAAATTAAACTCTAACTAATAAAAAAAATAGAATAATCTGTCTAACGAGAGGATAAATAACAGTGATAATTGTGCCTGTCATTTTAACTCATAGGTAAATTGTATTTTCTGCCATTTTTTGGATTTGATATTGTCGAAATCTTCTCTGACTCCTTTGACAGACTTACGATCTACTATACTCGTCGAAGAATACTAAAACTATTTTTTTTGTAAAACTGTTACCCTAAATAAACTTTTTATCAAAAAGTGTTTATTTAGTGTTTATTAGTGTTTTTTAGTAAAGATTTTGAAGTAATAGTTGTTATTGGTATTAGAAGTAAGTAATATTTTTGCGATCCAACCATATTCGAAAAATAAACAAAAATATATAAATTATCTTCAGGCGACAGAACTTGGAAGGTAGATAAAAAATAGTGAAACTAAAAAATAATTCAGGTCAGGGTGTTTTCCAACAGTTAGTAAGAAATTCAAATATGACAGGTAAACCAAGTAAACTAAATGCATTACATTATTTTCCTGTCACTATTAATAAAAAATCCCATTTCATTGAGACTTTTTGCGGACACTGTATAATACGTATTTGTGACGTAACCGAATACCTAGCTCTCCAAATAAACGCGATACATATATTTTAAGAGCGCGGATGGGCCGTATCTAGGCCACCAGATATTTTTGAAATTCAAGCGCGAGGTTGGGTTATTGACCTTATCCTTCTTTTAGGATTTGTCACAATGTTTGGTAGGCGGAAGTGATGGTCTACCAGGAAAAAAATCGCCAGACATACTGATTCGCTTATAGTTATGTAGGTTACATGAATTATTTTTATCTTTTTTGTGATGGGAAGATCGGATACTGAATTATTTATACTTTCTAGTAATTGGTAATTGTTCTGATTTTTTATCAAATATATCAATAGAATTTCACTAATAACTTTAAATTACACGTTTTTTTATGTATGGTAGCTGGTGATGCATTCGAAGTATATTTTTCTATCATTTGTGCTCAAGCCTTTCATTGGTAGGCTGTTTGATGCGTTTTTAATTTTGTTGTTTTCTAATGTTTGGTTTGGTTTGGTAATGTTTGATTGCCGTTTGAGGGATTTAACAGTGTTGATGTTTAGTATCTACATGAAGCAATTAAGAGAGGGTTGAACCATGAGTGTAACATTTTCTACACTTATGTTTTTTTTGGTGATAAATAGTTTTTTTTACATTTATTTTCAAAAATATTTCTTCTATTTGTAATTATTACTTTGCGTTAACTCAAATTCTCTTTCTTGATTTGTTAGTTTGTATAATATTTCTGTTTTAAGAGTAATTGTTTTGGTGCTTTCTTTCTTTAAACTGTTTATATACGGTAACAGCAAAACAATTTCCGATGCACGTGATCAGCTTTGAGTGACAAGCAATGGCGACAGTGCTGCCAGATTGTGATGGATTTATGAGATGAATATTAATGTAAAATGGGGAAACAATATATTTATTATATCATTTTTTAAAGATGTTTACGCTTTATTTTTAATATAATAGTATTTTAGTAACTAATTTATTTATTAACAGTAGTCGCTAACATTCACAGTAGAAATATTTAAATTTAAGACAGGAGCTACTCGCTACAAATCGTAATAAATAGAAATAACTTTTTTGTCATGTTCTCGTTCATAATAGTTTATCAGGAAAGTTACAAGCTCTTTTCTTCGACCGTTTAAATGCTTTGGCATATTTTCATCACACAATTTCAAGAAATGCAATACAAAAACTCGGAAATTAAGTTCTTAAAAGAACTATTTGTGCTTAAAAGTACATTTTTTTAAAAAAGACTATGAAAATCTGCAAAAAAACGAGAATTACTCCCAAAAATTCAACAACAACACGATATTATACAAAATAATGACTGACACTATGATAATTGTCAAATAATAAACGACAACGTTGCTGACCACAGCGCAATCTGACCAACATGGCGATAATAAAATTCGGTTTAAACTAATTTCTGCAGCTTTAATCTAAATAAAATATCTGTTATAATCATTTGGTCTATAAAGTAAAATGAAGAGCAGCTCCCTATCTTAAATTACACAACAAATTTAAACAGTTTTGTCAAAATTTTATTTAGTCAGGTTTATAGGCTTTAGTGTCAATTTCGATACGATTGATGACGTGCATCGGAAAATGTTTTGCGTATACCGTATGTGTCTTATTTCATAATGTTGTAGTTGAAAATTTTAAAACTAAATAATTCAAAAACAAAAATACGAGTAGCGGAAAAAAGGACCAAAATACCCTACATATATGCTTATTCTCTGCATTAAGTTCATCAGACCGAAGGGAACAGCCATTCGACGACCGGTTTCGGAGAGTTTTCTCCATCGTCAGGCCGACTTTGCTGTAACAGTGTAACCCTCGATCTGACTAACGAAAAGCAGAGAATACAAAACGTACTACTATTGCGAGAGTGCTAGACGCTCTACGCCATCTAGCGGTAGCTGTGACAATCACAGATCGTACCGCCAAAATTAAAACCAGCGGCCTACTGGACAAACATGCTTGCTTCATCCACGTTAGCGTAGATGGAGCTAAGAAGGCTTAGGTAGGGTATATATATAATAAATAAATAAAAATACGAGTAGCGGAAAAAGGGGCCAAAAAACCCTACATTATGCTTATTATCTGCATTAAGTTCATCAGACCGAAGGGAACAGTCATTCGACGACCGGTTTCGGAGATTTTTCTCCATCGTCAGGCCGACTTTGCTGTAACCCTCGATCTGACCAACGAAAAGCAGAGAATAGCTGAAGATGAAGCAAGCATGTTTGTCCAGTAGGCCGCTGGTTTTAATATTGGCGGTACGATCTGTGATTGTCACAGCCACCGCTAGATGGCTACGGTAACGTGGATGATGAAGCAAGCATGTAAATAATTTTCTTTACCAGAATTAACTAGAATATATTGTTGTTATTTTGATTGGGGATGTTCAGTAATGGTAGAACTAAGGTATCTTACCTCTGGTAATCTAACTAGTAAGTCTTGAAATCTGGTAACTTGTTGAGGATACATATGTTGTGTGTAAACACGTAGGCACGTCATGTATCGCTCATGGATCGTTTCCAGTTCAGTACTACCCGAACCACTGGCAGGTTTTGCTGAAAAAGGCAGTTTTGCTTTAATTCCTCTTTAATAACAAATTTTCTATAATAAAAGACAATAAACAAACATAATCTTTATGAATTGAGACTTCACCCTGTTATGGGTAAGTTTTTTTCCAGTTGGCTTTTTTATTTATAAAATGATAGCAATCCTCATTACATAGCCATCTTTGACGCCTTTTTTTTCAATCATATTGTATAATGAAAAGAAGACAAGTAAGGACTGAAATGAATAGATTGATAGACATAATAGATTATATGCAAGCAATTTTATTAGTTATTTTTTAATAATCTCCTTTTGCCTGTAAGCTTCGAAACCGAGAAAAAAATGATGTTAAAAATATTAAAAATAAAAAAATAAATCTTTGATTATGATCATTGAAACCAGTTGTACCTTGATTAAGCATGGTGATAACTTTAAGGCACACGTATTCCTCCATGGTGAGTTTGATCTGTCGAAACATGAGCGTCACATGGGTGATTTTTTCGATCATCAGTCCGACGTCTTGTCGTAGCTGTTCGATGGTTATCTCGCGACCCATCATGGACGTCAAACAGTTTTGCAAAGTGCATAGGTTGGCCTCCACCTGAAAACAAAGAAAAAATATTTAGTCCTGATAGTAATTCTATACTTATATAGGGTGACAATTTGAAAACGAACAGTATTTAATAATACCTCTACCGATGACGAAGTATGAAAATTTGGCGAAATACGTCAATTTACATGTCAAGGGGGACAATTTTTGAGGCATTTGTTGTCGTTAACCCTTTGACCCCCAGGGCACCTACCTCTAAATCAAAGTATTTTTCAATGTAAAAAATACTATTTTTCAATACATCTATAGTGTTCATCATGGAAGTTGAATGCTTACATAATCACGATTTATTTTCATCCTGGCTTTAAAACAAGTTTAGAAATTGAACGCAATCAACGAAGTAACAACCTTTAACGAATACAGATCGCAATTTTGAGCACCATTTAATTATTTATTAGATATCGGAAAAGTATATTTGAACAATTTCAAAATACTGTTAAACAGGAAGTAACAAACGATGATGGAACAATATGATAAATCCATATAATTGAATATTTGGTCTTTTGAATTTATAAAAATGTGTAGAACTTTTTACTACTAATTTTAAATGTATTTTATTGTATATTGAATACCTACGAACTAACATTTTTTGGAATAAAACTAGTTTATGTTACTTTAATATGCGTTTTATTATCTAAATTTATTACGAGCACGTAACCTAATCTATATATTTTTTTAATACACTTAGGTATGCAATAGATAAATGAGGAAACCTTCAGATTAAATCCATCTATTTCGCATCTCGTTTTGAATAATCTCACATTATTCTGGGAAACGAACTTGAATATCGTCAAAAAAAACAGTGTGTGCACTATGTGCCCATATTTGAATTGAAACATGTATGAAAAAGTGACATAATATAATGATGTTTTAACATAAATATTATTTTCAATTTATTTCTGTAATCTGTACATTTTCTGTTTCCTCAATAGCCTGCAAATTTTGTGGAATACCACCCAAAATACCTATGCAAATTTTACTAATTTATTATTTTTATTTATTATTTATTTTAGTAATGGGAATAATTGAATTATTTTCACCATCGAATAATTAGTAATAATTCATATTTCACAATCGAATTAATAATTCGAATTATTTAGTAGAATTATAAATTTAACCTAAAAATAAATTCGTCCCAGCTAGTGCTCGTCTAGGGGCTATTTTAAACAAATCTGAACCATTGCCATACCTATATTCTATCACCGAATAAAGAATAAAAAAAAATTCTTTATTCAATGTATTCTATTAACTGTGCCGAAGCCGTATAATAAATTCAACCATAATTTAAAGTTTTAAATTTAAAAGTGTCGAGTTTATGATTGTTATTGTTATGGCCTTTTATAAACATTTCAATTCCTATTGAAAACCTCATATCTAAAATAAAAGCTTCTTCTAAAACGGTATAAGTATGTCCTTGTTTACGTGCGGTTCGTATTTCTTTTTATTTTATCAGTTGCAATCAATAATTATTTAGATAAAAGAAGAAAATTAATTTTAGTGTTCGGCAGGTGTTCGGTGAAATTTGGGTGAGATTGAAATGAACCAAATAATAGTATTCTTTCGTTCTGAACGAAATGAGAATTTTCACTTAAACTGATTTATTCCTACGTGGTATAGGAAATAACAATGATTTCTGGATTTTTCTATATCGGATCGTTCCTTTCTTTGTCGATTCCCTTTATAAATCAGTTTAAGTGAAATTTTTCAGTTCGTTCAGAAGGAAAGAATACTACTAATAGTACTAATTAATAATATTCGTCCATTAAGAGGTTATGTTTTATGTTCATTTGTAATTCGGTTACCACAGATATAATATAAAATACTACTAATTTTTATCTCGATTATATCGAAAAAGATTATCGAATTAGTCGTATTAATTAATTCGAATTTTCCCAACACTAATTTATTTTACTTTTATGCAAATGCTTTTTCTTCTTCTTCTTCTTGCTTCACGATGACCACGCGCCTTTCGACGGCCAGTCAGAGTCTATTATTCTTTGATGCAAATGCTTAATAATGTTAAGACTCAAATTTATTTAAGAAGAGAAAATTTTTTGAACCTAACCAAAAATTCGTATTTATGGTGATTTATAGTTACAGTAATTTTGTTAAATTATACGAATATTCTCATTGATTATTGATTTGAAATAAATATAACAATCTCCTCTATTGAAAATGCCAGTTGCTTAATTCTAATTCTGAGCTAGCAAAAGATCTAGATCCTTTACCTAGACCGTTATTCAGAAGCTGCAAACCTATCGATGAACATATGCATGAAAATTTACTTCCTAGCATACAACCAGAGGATATTGGTAGACAGGAATAGTATCAAGTTTATTATAATTATTTTCTAGGAAAAACTTTACAGTTACAGTAATTTTGATAAATTATAATATACATTTTGATAATTTAAACGAATATTCTCGTTGATTATTGATTTGAAATAAATATGACAATGTCCTCCAATAAAAATGTGAGTTGCTTATCTCTAATAATTCGAGTTCTGAGCTAGGAAATGAGCTAGATCCTTCATCTAGTTCGTTATCCAGAAGCTACAAACATATCGATGAAAAAATGCAGGAAAATATACTTCCTAGAACACAACCAGAGGATATTGGCACACAGGTACAGTATCAAGTTTATTATAATGATTTTCTGATCAAATGTTTTTTGGAGTGTGTGTTGCAGATCCTTGCCACTTTTTTTCTCGCTAGCTCGTGCGTCGTGTCAAGGCCGTGGCGTGTCAAGGCCGTGGCGTGTCACGGGTTTGAACTCCCCTCGCGCGTAAAGAAGTTTCACTTCAATAATCATATTAGGTCTTTAAATTTCGGTTTGTTTTGACGCTAGTGATATCAGCCGACAAATATAAATAATATAATAATATACTGATTGACAAAATATATACTGATTGCGAGACAAATAAACAAAATCAGAATAGCCAACTGTTTGAATCATTGTTAATGTTCGTGTAAACTAACTATGGATGGAACATTTAAATTATTGATCTGATGAAGAACAGTAGAACCAGTCAACTGGCATAAATGTAATTGCAAAATCATAACAGTCCAAATACCGCTGACAGAATGGCTATAGGAAGAAAGAAAGAAGCCTTTCCCTTTCACATAACGCCGTGTACTACAAGAGCTCTCTCGGAAATTTTGACGAACTAACGGCGCACAACATCCTAGATGTTGTGTTGTGTATCACGTCACGCGATCCACCGGTACCACTAAAAGGAAAAGTAATTTAACGGGCTGCCGAGTGGAGAGTGCCGTTACGCAACCGCAACAGGGGGCGACGTACCGTTACGTAAGAGCGATAGACCATAGAAGAAGTTGAAGAACACAAGTCGTGCTTTGCGAAGAAACCGCTTCGTTTTCTATGTCTGAATGCGATGGTTCGCACGCGGTTTGCGGTGAAAGTAAAAGTGTTTGGTCTGTGGACGGTGTGGCACAACCTCAGAGTAAAATGAGATATATATTTATAGAACATTTTTAACGCAGATGCCGATGCTGTCTTTTGAAAAGGCAGTAAATAAGCTTGAACATTGTACTAAATTACAAGAAAATACTTATTTTAGCACCCCTTGACCAATGTTTAACGACCATCTAAGATGATATGATTTGATCCGTAGAAGTAAGAGAAACTAACATCACTAGAGTTACTCTTTAAATAATTATTAGGATCACCGAACTGATCGAACTATGTTAAACGAAATGAAACACAAAGATGTTATGGTAGAATGTAGAGAATGTTTAGGAGAGGGCTTAATCACCTATCTCTGTTGTATTCTCCCTTCTTGAGTTATGGCAGGTTATAACTCATCATACACTCCCAGGGCTTTGATAAAAGCTAGTATCTTAGACGACTCCACATAAGCCAGCTCTCCATCTTTGACATCAGCCATACCAAAGTTTATGGCACGAACGGTTGTCGTCTCGGAGCACTCAGTGATAAGGTGTTCTGGTGTTTTCCCATTTTCCCCACAGAATCTGCATTCGCCGTTGTTTCTCAGCTTCAATCTACTGAGGTGTTCGTTGAGGAGACAGTGTCCTTTTAGAAACCCCGTGACAATCCGAAGATTGTTCTTGCTGAAATCAAGGAAAATCTTTGATTTTTCGCAGTCGTAAGTTCTGAGGAACTTTTTCGAGTATTCGAGACCGTTGGAGGATTCCCATTCCAGGTTACGGATGGAGTCCTCCAAGTTCTTCATTTCCGCTTTAAGCTGGTTTCCGCTTGGAAAGCAAAAACGTTCTGGTCCAGTTAGTGGAGTGTTCGATCTTTTTCTGGTTGGATCGTTTGCTTTTTCATTGCCTTCTATCCCTTGGTAAGCGAGCACCCAGAGTAGGAGGACTTTATTTTCTTTGCTTAATTTGTTCAGCTTCTCTAGGCATTCTTTGCCAACTTCGAATTGATGGTTACTGAGTTGATCGCTTTTAGTGCTGCTTGACTATCGGATAAGATAGTTATTCCTTGTTTTCGATAGTTCCTATCTAAGATAAATTGTATGCATCTTTCGATAGCGTATATTTGCCTGATAGCAGCCTGAAGAATGCTGGGGTAGGGGCCGTGTAGTACTTAGTTTTCGGTTCAAATACTGGCTATCCATGTCTTAGAGGTAACGTAAGATCTTATGGTAACGTCAACTTCTTTAGATTGCTAATGACGACAACCACGAATAAGAATTGTCAAGCGTTATGTCTGGTGATGAGCCACGGTCTATTAAATTAAGATCAATAAATAAAATTGAGTCACTTGAAATGTGGTATTACGTATATGGTTGAGGATATCATGGACCGAATACACCACTAATGAAGACATATTGAGAAGAGCAGGGCGGGAATACAACTCATGGCTCATGGATATTGTGAAATACAGAAAGATATCGTATCTGGGCCACTTTCTGGAGGCTGGGCGGTACTTCATGGAAAAATTGAAAATCGTAGAGGATCTGGAAGGAAACAGCAATCCTGGCTGCGACATCTGGGAGT